AATAAAAACAAACAAAATAAACAAAAGTTTTAATCAAAAGCTTTTTTTAAAAGAAAGGTTTTTAGGGCTTTCTTGAAGGCGTCAGTGGTCTGTGGAGTCCTCAGGTGGTCTGGGAGGGAATTCCACAGGCGAGGAGCAGCTGCACAGAAAGCCCGATCCCCCATTGTGCGTAGTTTGGTCCTGGGGGGGCGAAGCAGATGGTTGGTTGTGGAGCGGAGGTTGAGTGTGGAGGTTTGAGATGTGAGAAGTTCCTTCAGGTATGGAGGAGCGTTCCCGTGGATGCATTGATGGGTCAGTAGTGCGATCTTGTAGTCGATCCTGAATTAGACAGGAAGCCAGTGGAGGGAATGAAGGACGGGTGTGATGTGGTTGTATTTTCTCACCCTCATCAGGATCCTAGCGGCACTGTTCTGTACATATTGGAGCTTCTGAAGGCTCCCGCTAGGAGTCCCGATGAGGAGAGCGTTGCAGTAATCGAGCCTTGAGGAGACGAAGGCATGGACCAGTTGTTCTGCATCTGACAGGGAGAGTGTGCTTCTATAAAATTGAAGCTAATTTTGAAACCAGTGGATTCACTCCCTGCTAGCTATTAGGACAGTTATTAAGTCATATCTGCTTTACTTTTCAGAACTTGAGGGTACTTTTTGAATAGCAGCAGAAATTTCATAAAAGATATACCTTGGCACATACATGTAAAACTATCATGGGAAACCTTAGTGAGCCTATGGTAGCACTTTAATGGAACATGGGAAACACCACAAGTGTGCCATAGTATTGAATATATTACATAATTATTTCAATAGGGGGCGCTCAGCTTACACACAGCTCATTACTGCACTGTGGTTGTGTCATCATGTGACCGCAACAACGCTGATTTATATTCATAGAGGTGATTTAATGGATAGTGGGAGAATCTGTAACATTCTTATGTTTTCATGACTCTGTGAACAGGGGATGCATTGACCAATACTCATACTGTAATTCATGGTGGTATAATAGTTCAGAAAAAAAGTGGCTTTGCTGGAAATATAAAAAGATCAGAAGGACTTATAATGATATAAAGGGGAAGAAGAGCAGCGTGGAGGTCTGTATCTAATTACCGATGACATCTGTTTTTTTCTTGCTTTTTTTGAACATCACCATACAATAACCAAAGCAGAAGTACATGCGCCCTTAAGGCTTAACTTGAAACATATTAATGCAAAACCTTCAAATATAAAGGCACACGCCGTTTTCAGGCAATTCCACTGCATGTCTTTGCACTGTGGAATTGCAGTGTGCACCTTTGAAACATAACAAATCCTGAATCTGATAAGAGGGAACTTCTGTTTCGTATTTAACTATTTCTCTTTTGTATTTTCCAAAAGAAAAATAAAAAGCCATGTGTAACTACTTTGCCTACGGTTAAGAGCAGATATTTGAGTCACACAACTGAAACCATTCAGTCACACATATCAAACAGGGAGGTATCATACATACATTATTTCACACAAATGACAACAGGGCGCCATCTTGTTGAAAATAAAAACTATCCACCAGGGAACAGAACATCTGGTTTTGGTTAAAAGGGAACGTGGGAACCAATACATTTTTATGGGAGTTCTTAAAGGGAATAATTCATGTTAAACAGTTTTACTGTACTGTCTCACTGCTCATATGACATCATGTATGACTGTGACGAAGGTAACTTCGTCACTGTGGACTGACGGCTTCGGGCCTGGTAACTCAGCACTTTAGTGAACAGTTTGCACTTTATTAGCGTGATTGCACATGTTAGAAATTAAAATCAATGTTTTATGGCATAATTTAGTCTAAAACATACCGTCAGTTTAAAAGCAGTCTTATGAAGAACTCATTGATTTCAGTATTGTGTTCACACCTTAAAAGGTGTGAAAGGAGGGATTGTTAGAAATTAAAATCAATGTTTTATGGCATAATTTAGTTTAAACATTACGTCAGTTTAAAAGCAGTTTTATTCTGAAAATCCTTCATTTCCGGTTAGCATTAGCATGTGGCTAACGTTTTGAAACCGTGAATTGAAGGTGAAATGACATGTGATGTTGTACACTAAACACACTGGGATTAGCACTCATTTATTGACGCTGAATAACGTTTATCAGGGAATGTTTAAATAACCACAGACACCAGAAGGATGTAATTTAGCAACAAAAAAAGGCAGGAATTGCATTGGACCCGCCCCCCCCGACGACGCTGGCCAATAGGAGAAGACCTCAGATGACAACAGGAAGACCAAGCCAAGAATCAAGGATCCAGCCTCCTGACCTGGGCTGACCAACACATGGGGAGAGGGTCTCCGCTTGAAATTTCATTTGTAAACCACCGCATCTTTTGTGTAATTAAATGCTGTTAACTTTTATAAGCTTGCCTTGACTCTTTTCAGTCTCTCCTGCTCTCGGGGTTCAAGAATATCTAACACACAGTACAGTTTGGCATTACATATTTGCACATTTTACATCATTTATACTAATTATTGAGGTAGTATTTATTAACTGATTGGACCGTGTTGATTGGAATGTCGTCTGGCCGGTGCTGGTCGGGCCGATCGGCTCCGCCTGAGAAGATGGGAGTTGGCGAGAGCGCCGAGAGTATTTGTGCTGGTGTAGAAATGACAGCGGTTGAGAGTAATCAGGGTGCAAATAATATGTTGAGCGTGTATGGGTCATGACGTTGGGTTGCATTGATTGTACGAGTTGCCACTGTGTGGAGTTGACATGTCACTCCCCATGTCTGTTGCTGCTGATTGTGTGCACTGTGTTGTCTCCTCCCCCCTCACCTGTGTCTTGTTGATTAATTAGTGTGTGTGTATTTAGGCTCTGTGTTGCCTGTTTGTAATGTGGGGTGCTGAGATCGTTGTGGCTGGTGACTGTGCTCACGTGAACAGCGAGATTGAGGCTGTGTCATGTGCCCGTGAGTAATAAATGCCCACACCGGGTTGTATTTTGGACGTTCTGCCTCTGCCTCCTTGCTTGGTCGGGCCGCTCAACGGTCAGCTTCACAATGACTTAAACCAGAGAAAGGGAATTTGTGTGGGAAAGTCTTCCTTTATCTCAAACAATTCATTGTCAAAACAATCCAAACTTTCAGCAGGGTTTTAGCAGCTTCACAAGCAGTTTATTTACAAAATGTGGTACTGATCTAGGTCAGCCTGACCTGGATGCTGCTAGCAAGGATCCAGGATTATAACGTTTCTGTAGAAATCTGCTAGCGGCACTAAATTGTTTAGACTCTAGGGATAGCAATGTCAGTCTGACACCCAGATGGTCTGCTAATGTGGTCCAGTCTGAAAAATCTCAGCGACTACTGAATGATTTGTCCTGAAATATTTTACAGACTTTGTTTGTTCTCTGAAAATGAATCCAAATGATTTTGATTACCCCCTGACTTTTCATTTAGCATCAGCAGCAATTTGACAATTGCGGTTTTGAGCAAAATATCTCCACAAATGTGTAGATTATCATGTCCCCTTCTTTATTATCCATTATTAGTTTTATATATTTAGTAATCCCTTTAAATGCTATCTTTAGGTCAAACTTCAAATGTTTCCAATGCAAAATGAATGACATGCAAATGTAATTTAGCTGTAGCCTACTTTGTGTTTAGTGTTCGTTAGCTAAACTTAAAGATTAAACCCGCGAACAGTACCGTTAGCATCGTCATTGTAAGCGTCTTAGCACTTAGCTGAAAGCACTGCTGTGACTAGTGAAGTAAGAAGATATGATTCTACACTGTATTGAAGTAAACATGTATTGTTTGAACTGTTTTATGTAATCACAACGGTTTGGGTAATTATATATAGAATAGGAATGTTATTCTCACTTTCAAACTCACTGACTTAGAGATTCTGTGTTTCACACACCAACATTGATCCTTATCACCACTAAGAGCCAGATGCTGTTTCTAAGTCGTTAAAGACATCGTAAAATAAGAAAAGATCCCCTGGAAAAGGTAGGGAGGGGAGATCGGGACGGAGATAACATTGACTTTTGACCTAGTGTGGTTTGGGGTCTCACTCTGTTCGAAACTCTGATTGACCTCGGCCAGAAGCGAATCCAGCCAATCAGGACACTTGGAGGAGGTGGTCAGTTTAAACAGCTCCTCCCCAGGGCTTCTCTGATTCGCTTGGGAGAAAAGTGGGAAGGAAGAATCGACAAATCTCCGCCCCAAAGACAGATAGAAATACTGACGTTTGTGTGTGTAAAATTGCTTTTGGGTTTGGTGAGTGGCAGGTCCTGAGAACTGTGTCCGTATCGCATCACAAACCTGAAGTCCAATTTCTTTTTGGTTTGATGAGTTGGCGGGTCCTGACGCATTTGTCCGCATCGCATCACAAATCTAAAAGCCCGGGGTACCCGGAGTACTCTGTATAACTTGTATATGTGTTTGATTTCCTACCAGTAAACTCAGATAATTGTTGTAACTTTTGATTCCGGTGTTTTCAATTCCTTTCTTAATTTAATAGAGATCCAGCCTCATCCAACGAACGGCGCGTAGCAGAGGTATTCTACTCCAACACTAGTAACAGCCTCACAGCTTGCTAGAAAAAAACATTTATTTTGGTTGGTTTTAATCTGCTGAGCTTGTTACCTAACAAAGTAAAAATGTGATTAAAGAAAATTAAAATACAGTCAAAATATTATTTATGTATTAAATACAATGTGGCTCAAAGTATTTTTTTATAATGTACACAATATTTATCACAACTGACTTGTAGAATGAACCCTTACTACCTTGTTACAACCATTAACACATTTAAAGGAATTGTTTATAGTTAATATGATATATCCCCAGCAGCCTGTTAGCTTAGCATAGCATACATATTGGCAAACAGGAACACACAGCTAGCCTTACTGGCCAACATTGGAAATTAGTTTTCTTTCCAACTAAACTTATGATCACAGTTATGTTGCCTCTTACAATACATTAAAGACAAATGATTTCAAACACTGATGAACAGATGAAAATAAACACAGGAAAAGGTATGTGGGACTGCTTTTTTTATTTTGTTTTTCACAAATAAAACCATAGGTGCACCGTAGCAAAAAAAAAGCTTGTATTTACAAAAAAATAAATCAATATACACAAAATTATTATAATACAAGAGAAAATCCTTCAGTAATCCTTACAAGATAGCAAGTACGAACAAAACTTAGATTTTGACACCTTGTGCAGATACTTTTTTTTCTTACAAGGAGATAAAGTCTGTGTATTTTTACAAAACTTATGCACATTCTCTCATCGTACAAAAACTGATTCAAGCATGAAACCTTGTTTTACACCATTAATGACTTTCAGTGCATTCAATTAAGCTATTTAACACCAATTACAAAAGTAAATCTGTCTTTGGAGATTTTCTTCAGCTAAGCAAACTCATGGTGTGTGATGTCCAATTCAAGTTGGTCAATTAACATAGGATGATCTAAACTGTTGTAGTGTAATGGACTGACATGTATTTCCTAAAGTCTGAGGCGGAGGAATCAGTAAGCATCTTGGAACAAAATACAGATGTAGAACAGTGACAGAATCCTGAGAACTGTTAACAGTCTCAAACTTTAACAAGTAATGCTTAGAACATATTTAACAAAAGTTCAACTGCCCGGCTCCATCACAGTTTATCAGAGCAGCAAATTCAGTTTCAGCCCCGGAGGTCTCTTATAAACAGCAGGTTTGCAAATCAACACCAAGAACATGGAGATGGTGGTTGTCATATTTTCTTTGGATTATTGAGCCAATTTCTGTCCAACATTGAGGTTCTAAAGTAAAGAATACATTAGAACAATCACAAAACGCTGAACTGAAAAGAATGATTCTTTATACACTATTTAATCTTGTCTAATCAGTTGTTTTGACATTTTAGGAAGATTTTTTTGAGTATTAAAGCATGATCTAGATTTAGATCTGAGATGAGAACCTCACATTGTAATCACTGCCCATCGTTATACAATCAAAAATATTGCCCTCAAAACATGCCTAAACTAAAAGGTGTTTTTTTGTATATGGTTAGCGGCAAAAAAGGTTGTCTATCCAAATATGACTTTTGGGGATTTATGTCGGACATCAACTGTAACTTAGTTATTTTATGATCTCAGAGCTTCCTGAAAGTGCACTGCAAAGGAAATGGTGGAAAAACCATCTAACAGCTGAAACGGCTCCCTGACAGATTTTAATACCCTGGTACTGCCTAATAATGAGTTCACTGTTAAAGAAAATAACAAGTCTATAACTAATATGTTGAAAATATTTACACATGCAAACCTGTCCCAAATTGTATTAATAAAATGCTCAGGGCTGGTATATTTAGAAAGGTGTTAAGAGTCTGGTAAACAGGGTTCTGGAGAGGAAACCCATCGTGTGCTGAGCTGTTGGTCCAAAGTGGTTTTCTCCTGCTGATGTTCCCAAACTTTAGGGAACCTCAGGACTGTTGTCAAGGATCTGCAATGAATTATTACCATCGGAACAATATAGACGTTGCTGCTTGACATTTTTTTTGTGGTTCTGTAGACACCAGTGATACTTTAATCAATTTGAGAGCGAAGAGGTGGGCACTCCAAGCTGGGATAATTGGTAAAATAAATTATTTTTTTATGCCGACACGTATATTCAGTGTGTATATATATATATATATATATATTTTATTTGCACAAAACAAATTTTTTTTTGAAATAAGTGCTTGTCTTTATCCCAGCAGCAGCCCCGACAGGGCGTTCAGGTCTCTCATAAACGGGTTGTCGCTGAGTATGAGGTCGATGCGCTGCTTCTGGTCGGGGAAGATGTCGTACAGCTTTCTCTTCAGCACCGACGTCTCCCCTGGCGACCGCTGGGGAGGCGGGGAGGGCGAGGGCGACGGGGAACGGCGGGGCGGGAGCCACTCGGGGGGGCCGGAGTGGGGCCAGTGCGTCTGGTGGGGCGTCAGAGAGGAAGGGGGTAGCGGCGTGGAGGCGGGGGTCCGAGGAGCCGAGTGGAGGGCCTGGACGTAGAGCGGCAGCTGCTGCTGGGACGACGGCCGGAAGCATGGGGGTCTCATAGGGGGAGGAGTGGGCGGGGCCCTCCTGACAGGAAGAGAGAAAATAAGAGGGGGAGAGTGTGAAAGGTGCAACAGCCCATTCACTGCAACACAAGCTCAAATAAACATACCGATTTAAAAATAATTGTATGGATTCAAAAATGATTGTTTTGCTACTTCTTCAAAAAAGTAGTCCATTCCTTGAGTGCCAACGGCTGGAGCTGTGGTGACAGCAACGTAACCTCAAAATGATGGCAGCACCGAGCAAGGTTTTCTGTAACTGTCCAGGTGTGTTCACATTGATTTTCCATAAAGCAGTCTTTAAACACTTCCAGAGCCAATACCGTGTTCCCTTAAGTGTTTACTTCCTGTCTGTCTTCTGCTGATTTATCTGTACTCCAGCTTTCTGTGTTTCTACCTCGTTCCTTTGTTTTCATGTTTTTGTTCTCCTTTATTTTTTACTGGGGACAATTTAGCCAGAATGAATCCCAAGTTTGTTGCTCTCCACAAATATAAAAAAATAACATTCAACAAGTATTCCATGGGGTTTTCTTATTTACGAAGACAGATGTGTTTGTTTTGACTTCTTTCTGCGTTTTGATATGACTGCACATAGTCCCTTGATCAGAGCGTTGTTAGTAACGCTCTGCTATTGAAAGAGAGCAGACTGCTGAACATCTTAATTGACCAATCAGAATTGAGTATTCCCCTAAGCTTTGCAAGTATAGTCTTTATTTAATATAACTGCAAGTGTTTCAATGACACTACAACCACGTATTTTTTAAGGTTTTGGCTAACGTTAGACACATCTGTGGATAAAACATACCTGTTGTCTTTACGCAGGAAGAAGTCTAGATGCGGTCCGTTTCTCCCCAGAGGGTCATCAGGGATCATGAAGTGGTCCTCCACAAAAGTAAACTGAAGCAACCTATCAGTGAAAGAAAAAAAAATATCACTATTTGATAAAGTGAAGTATGATTTTTATCTGCCAGGCTTCAGGTGTAGGCGCTAGAGTTAACATTCGTCATCCAGCTGGCAGTGTGCCTTGTGGACTTTCCAGTGGCAAGTTGGGTAATGGAAATGTAATGACTGACTGAGCTGTGATACGTCATTAACAGTCACCTCTCTTGAATGATCTTGCGCCAGGTGTCCGAGGTGTCGACAAAGTCCCTCAGGTTGTCATTTGTTACGATGATCCCGTCTGTTTTTTCTGCTAGGTGGAGCAGGAACCTATCAAAGAGGGAGAAAGTGTGGATTAGACACTCGGGAGTTTCCCTGCGGTCAAAGGTCAGAAGCTGGTGAATTCACAGGGAAATACACACCTAAAGTGATGATCAAAATCTGGCTCTACCAGAATGACAACATTAAAAATATCTATTAAATCATAAAACACCACTTATTTTACTTAAGATCTGTTGGCTCTGTCCTCTAATAATCAGCTTCATCATCCCCGTTTGAAAATACATTATGACTGTAGTTGTTGATGGGTGGGGTGAGAGTCAAGGAAACATAATATTGGATTTTTGCGTAGGGGAGGAGGAGATAAGTTCATAATGGAACTGAAACGCCCAGAGATAAGCGAGCGGTTCGATCCCGGCTCTATAACAGCATGATTTACGTCTCTGCTATACACCTCCATCTCTTGTGTCTGTGTTGTTTTAGCCGTCTGGAGGACTCTCTCCTCAAAGGTTAAAGGCTGTGTGTGTACCTGTCGTCATGTGAGCATATCCTCTGGCCACACACCTCTCTGGAGGGAGTGAAGGAGAGCAGTCGCAGGTCTTCTAGCTGGTTTAGAAAGTCTTGCTCTGCAAAATAAACGTGTTATATTTATACTACAAAATAATAGAAATGGAAAAGCAAGAAAACAGAGAAATAGATTTTTTTTTTACCAGGAGGCCTGATATGAAAGCGTATTAAATTACATTATATTACTTACTTTAACAATCATTTTGAAATGGTTATAGTGTTGACATCAGTTTTGATTTGATCCCGTGTACATGGTATTTAAAAATGTCTATAATCTTATTTTATTTCACTTAAACAACCTTAAAAGCTGAAAGTCAACACTTTTACATTCCGTTTCTTTTTTTGGCACTTTATTCGACAGATGACAGTGTATACATGAGGGAGAGAGAACGAGAAGGGGGATGTGATATTCGACAGATGACAGTGTATACATGAGGGAGAGAGAACGAGAAGGGGGATGTGATATTCAACCAAGGACCTCGAGGCCAGAATGGAACCAGGATCATTATTGTTACATAGCAACCACACAGCTGAGAGTCTGCCCTGTGTACCTGTTGTGAGTCGGTCCCTCTTCTGACGCCATTGGGGGACAAACACTGTGATCTCCCTGTGGCCCCGCCTCCAAAATGTCTCCACAGCCAGCGCTATCCCTCGACAGGAGAAGAACCGATGAAGGCCGTGACTGGAAAGGAGGAGGAAAAGAGAAGCGACACAGTGAGGAGGGACATGTGACACATTAGGAATATGTTTGACAACCACTGAGCACTGTGACTGATAAGCAGCGTCTCCAAGAGTGCCGAGCCCCGCAGTGAAACCTACAATATGCCTAAGTAAGACATAACTAATGCAAATGACACTATAATGCAAGGTAAATGCAGGATTAAGTAAACTACAGGCATGAAATGTAGAATAATATGAAACTAAATGTAAAATAAAATACTGCTTGATGTAATCATTTATAAATATGTGTGTTTAAAAAATAATCAATGAGGAGAAACAAGGCTGTATATTATATATTTTTAAAAATGTATTACAAAAACATCTAAAAGAAAACTTAAGTATCACGAAATCAAAGCCCAGAAAATGGTCACATTTATAATCAAAACAATTAAAAACATCATATATGTATAAAATAGAAATGCTGTGCTTCTGCTATTAGTAATATTCATAAAGTCTAAAGCCACAGACTACGTTTGCAACAGCAATCTCTGGCCTTGTATCACTAAAGAAATAAAATACAATACAATATTTCCAATGTGTTTCATCAAGTTAGGTATACAGATTTAACATTTGGGTAAAAGAGCGCATTGGCATAAATATCGGCGATCAGTACGAGTTGTTTCGGGAAACAAATTGGATTTAAGTTAGTTCTTTGAGTACTGCATTAGCCCACATTGCGATTCCGATTCATTGTGCAGCCCTATTTGAATCCGCCCATTCCTATACATACTAAATCATCGCAAAATAAATCATAAGTCAACAATTTTCTAACTCATTTCCTCTGGCCTGTTTAAATAGCACCTCTGGGTAAGAACAAAATCCACACATGGAAATGAACTACAGCGTTAGGCAAACAACAGCAGTGAACCATGTCAAACAGGTTCCAATGGTCTCCCTGGCAACTGAAGTAATGATAAACTGGGCAGTTGTTTTGACAGTGCTCAATACAAAACTCACAGACAAACAAACTGCACATCACACCCTCAGCTGACCCATATTGACGGTGTTGACGTGCACAGTCTGTGCGCGCACGTCAGACAGCTGTAATACAACAAATAGGTCGCTAGGACAGAAAACCACAAAACAAAACAGCAACAGAGATGAGAAACTCCCCGAGAGCAGCCAGCAGGAAGCTGCAGTGAGCCACACGCTGCTGACGTCCTCGCAGGGTTTTTAACTCCGTTTAAAGATATATAGATATAGATATCGATATAGATATATATATATATTATTGCCAATTTGCTGGTCTTAGGTGTGTGTGGTGAAGGAAATGCTGCATAGACTAGTATGCCATAAAAAACTTCCATTGATCATCAACACCGCAAAAACTAAAAGAATGAAACGGCTATTTCTGAAAACAAGCTATTTTCATATTGGGGGAAATCTGCTTGTAAACAGGATTATTTTCAGGGGAAAAGTTTGAATCTGTTTCGGAAATAAGCGTAGCAGAGTTTTTCAACCATTTAGCAGCAGAAAAATGTGTCCGTTACAGAAAAGTTGAAACTCTTAATGACAGAGTACAACTCAAGACTGAATGCAGTCCAACAAGTCAGACTGGTGCTTTAAAGATCCCATGACATGGCCATTTCTACTGATCATATTTCCATTGTTGAGGTCTACTAGAATAGATTTAAATTGTGCAATTTTCCAAAATCACATTGGTTTCTCATACAGCATCTCTGTATAGTATGTGTATTCACCAGGGGCCTCATTTATAAAAAGGGATATACGCGATTTATAAAATACTAACTTGACAGGAAAATGTGCGGTCCTCCACGCAAACTCTAACCCATGCGTACGCACTAAGCACAACAACGGGAGAGACGAGAAACTGCGACACCGTTGGCAGAAGGAAGAATGGAGAGAAATATGTGGAAATAATACCATAAATAAAATGTTACCTCTCATTTATCAAATATGAAGAATTCATTTTCAAACATTGATTAAAGCCAATCTTAAAATGATAAACAAACGCCTGTTTGAGACTCCTCAGTGCACACACAAACATAACTTGGAGAAATAAATAAATACGGATATGTTATTTAAAACCACCTCGAATATGTTGTGTTAATGTTATGAAATGTTTTCTCATAAATGATGCGGTAAGCAGGAGGACAGAATAACGTCTAAACTGACGCCGTTTTGCTTTTCTATAGGTTGTAGATACGAGCATGGTTTTATATACTATCACGTTTAATCGTGTTTTATGCCGTTTGCCAAGACTTGATAAGTCGCTCGTAAAACACAGGAGGTATGGAAACTAAGAACACCATATGTGGTAAATTGTACAGCTAATATAACACAACCCATTAGTTGTATTTCCTTTAACTGGTGGATTATGGATATATAGTTGCTGATCGACAGCTGGAACACAAACCACCAAATACAACAAAAATAATTCAGATCCAGTCGTCATGACTCCACTCCGGAGGGATTCCCCGATCATTTCTTACAGTTTCTCATCAAGGGGGTGTCTCCTGTCCCCGGGACAAACACACTGCCTGAGGAAGGTTATGTATATTTTTTTTGTCATTAACTTTTTTCGGACCACTTATTTATTTATTTTGGTGACGATCTGACCTCCATGCTGCTACTCTGGTTCAAACTGCATCCACCAAACAATGATTTATCTCGACCTCCCCACAATAACCTAAATCTGACACGGTGTGAGATGTCTTTTTTAGCTGTGCTGTCGTCATTTCCTGCGATCTTCATGCAGTCAGTCAAAATGTATGAATGAATGGGCGTTTCTTTGACTATGTATAGGCAAATATGGGCGTTACGTGAAGCCTGCAAAAGCTGCGCCGCATTTCGAGTCGATTGTGATTTATAAAAAAGGGAAACAGGCGTAGGAAGTGCCGTACGCACTTCCCTCGCCGGTACGCAATGTTTTGTGAATCGAAACATTTCGGAACATTTCTGTACCTATTTTTTTGCTTTGTACTTGTGCTTTGCTTTTGTAAGTTGGTCGGGTTTGAGGGTTTTTGACTCTGCAGACCGTTTACATGCATAGAAACCTTCATAACACACAAGCGGACGGGTAATAACCGGAAAAGCATGACATGGGCCCTTTAATAAAAATCCGTGTTTGTACTGGTCGTCTTAAGAAATCACATCAATGATAATCCTCATTATTATTATTTTTTTTTTAATCTCTGCAATATTGTGAATCATATCGCAAGATTAGTAAAAAGGAATCACAGTTATTTTTTAAGCAAATCGTTCAGCCCTACTGGACGAGGATTTAGCAAACTGTAAGATAAATAGTTGAAAAACCCTCTATAAAGGATCAAACTGTGCCTTATGAATGCAGCTTCTGTTGACTCTTCTTCTTTATCATGTCAATCACTTTTTTCTCTGCTGGTAACTTCCCTGTGCAGCGGGCTACTATCGTGACCATCGATGTGGCCTCACGTGAGCTGTGGTGAAGCAGAGACGCACAGCAAGCACGCTCCAGTTCTCCAGCAAAGTGACGCAAGTTTGGCCAAAAAAGAAAAATACCCCAAAAGTTTTATGCCGCAAAAACCTTTGCTGACGGTGATAGCAATACAAAGCTAACCATGGTTCCACAATATGGAAATACCATATATGTCTTAATAGGATTTATGTTATAATAGGGACTGAGTATCTTTTTAACATTATTCAGAAAATCATTGAATAATAATCATTGTTTTACTTGTGCCAAACAGGGGACTTTTTTATTAAACCTAAATGTATCCTGGGAGACACTGCCCAGAGAAGGTTATTAAATAGGGGATATTCACTCACAGATACACTTATAATTTGAGGCCTATACCGATAGATAATCAGATAAAAAGGTGTAATAACAGAGTAAGATCGGTGTAATATTTGGTTGTAACAGGGATTTAACATGGTGTATCAGGTGGTATATACTGTAGGGCTGTAACATGGAAGTAACATGGCTGTAATGTGGATGTAGTATAGTGGTAATATGTGTGTAAAACAGTTGTAAAATGGGTTCAATAAAGAATGTGTGTAAAATGGATGAATCAAATCAAATCTTTTGAAAAAAAAAAAAACATTAGTGTCTTTTAGCCTCGATACATCACAAAAAAGAAATCAATATATTTTCCAAAATATTTTCACGTGCTTGCCCATATGACAGTTAAGTCTGTAGAATACGTTTTTTTAAATATTTGCACATTTATTACCTTTACCAAATATTGCCGTACTATGACTTTAATATTCCACCGCTCCATATTGAGGGCCTAGCTGTAACAGAATGGGAAAACTCATCTATTTAACACTCACTGTCCCTGTACAGTTAACGGATTACAAACTTGTTTTCTGTGACCTGGCATCACAAGCACAAGGTAGAGAGAACACACACACTCCAAGAGTCAGAAACACACACGTGCTAGAGCATTTTCAGTTTGCGCTCAGAGCCGCAATGCAAATTGAAGGGAAGTTCCCCCCGACTGTTGAAAGAGAAAGTGATAAAGGACACCGCAGCAGGAAGAGATTATGCAAGGGGTAAAATCACCTTGGAAACCGGGACGTAACCCGATGAGGGAGAGCCTCTCTGAGCTCATTGGGATGAGTTTACATGGCCTTATTAGCACTTTAAACCCACACCCTTTAAACCTAATCTGAAGCAGTTGTGGCCAAAAAACAAAAAAAAAAATTGGATTTCAAAGCTCTTTAAAGAATGTTTTGTAGGTATCTGTCCTAAATCACCTCATTGATTGCTTAATAGGACATATATATGTTGCTCTTAATTAGCATTGTCTATTAAAAAAACAATGATGAAATCCTTACGACAAATGTCGAGTCAGAGGCGCTTCTCTGTTAAGGCATACTTCTGGAAAGATATGAGGAAGAGTGTGAGTTACAGAGAAAGTGAAAGTTAGTGGTTGTAAAAGCGAGAGGTCAAAACAAGGTCATCTCGGAAGAGGGGATACATAAGCGAGAAAAAAAAACACAACAGGTTGCTCTTTATCCTTCCTTTGTTGCACAATTTCTTGATATGACCGAAACTACACATTACTAGAAAGGGCGTTTCTTCCCAAAAACGCCCGTGTACTACACGCCCACTTCTCAAATTGTGTGTTACAGCTGCTTTCGATGAGTAAAACATTACGGTGTGTGTGGGCTAGGTTTTGGTGCGCCTCCACTGTAAGGGATGCGACCCACGCACTGTAACATGTGCTTCATTCAGATTGAGTGTGTGACTGGTGATGATGGCGGTGCTGCTGGGAAGGGAGATGGCTTTGTGTGTAAAAAGGAAAAACGTGGTGCATGTACAACAGGTGCGGTAATTTAATCGTCATCACAGGAGATACACTCATACCAGTAAGAAATGCTGATTCAAGACGTGAGATTGGTTTTTCACTGATACACTCTGATGGTATTTTGTCTCTGTGATGTTCAGGAACTGTTGGGTGATTCACATAAAAAACATCTCTTAAAAAAACAAATTGTCCCAGTACTGAGAGTAGTTATAGCTTTGTAATAAAGTGCTGGTAAACTCTAGGCTACACCTATCTTTTTTACACCTATGTCTCAAAAACAATGCACTGCAACTAGTACAAAAAAACTAAACAAAAACGATGTACGCATTCTAGGGTTGTATTCAACTAATGAAAATCTTAGTCAACTAAAATTCTACCGACACAAAGGAAATAACACCGCACATTAGCTGCACTCTACCTGGTTATCTAAAGCAATTACAAAACATCTATCTGCAGCATATACAATTAGTTTATACCTGTTTTTGTTATATACTTTGATGGTTAAAACGGACTCAAAGCTGACCAGAGCTTTCCTGGTATATATATTTATATGATTTTATAAAATAACGCACACTGACATTGAAGCAGTCCCATGGGGACGCACCTGAATTGATACTTCACACAGTTTTTGTTGGATCAAACTTATTGAAAATTAGCCACTTCTGGTGTGTTAGCATTCAAAGCCTATCAAGAAGTGATGTGCAGGTCAGCGTTTGTTAATACCCACACCCAATGGAGCCAATCAGCACCATGCAGTCTGCCAAAAATATCCATCAACTACCTGAGCCAAAGTGGGACTGCAACCCTTCAAATCAACCAACGGAAAACAAGGTGTCCCTAAAACACTCTGATCTTCTTCAAAATATTTGCAAAATTGAATACAAAAGTAGCCGCTGTATCTTCCGAGCTGATCTGATAGTGTGCACTGCAGACACTCAACCAAGAAAAATTCCCAGACCAAAAACCCACAATGCTGTCAGACTGACAACCTGTCGCGAAGTGTGGTGGGTTCCAAGATGAGAAACTTTAGCAGATCAAACTCAAGAACATAAAGCACTCCTTCGGGTCTCAATCTGCCACAGGAAAGGGTCTCCTTGGTGTCCATGAAACACAATGAAATATATATCTCTTCAAACTTAATAAGAATAGATGTGTGGATAGCAGTGGTGAACCGTCAGGGCCTTCAAGGTATTCAGAGAATACCCTGGAAAACTCAGATAAAAAGAAAATATCGAATTAATTATATAAATACAAGTGAAATAAAACGAATAAATGAGTATAAAATCTGTGTTGTTGATCTGTAATCTTACAGTGTTACGTTGATTTGTTTGTCCTTCTCGGTCCATGCACTACGCATTTGAGTGGTTTTGTGTTAGAAAAAAAAATTCAACCAATCAGATATGTTTCTGGGTCTCTGGGAAGAATATCCTCCAACCAAGGTATTCAATATCCTTGACTCTTGGCCCTTACACTGAATAAGAGCGTACGTTTGGATTGATCATTTCTACAGAAGGTCCAGTTGTGATAGTCACGGTTCGCAACTGGTGGATAGTCAAGTCTATTATAATAAAAGCTTCTCTTATTTCTATATGTGTGTGTGCAGACTCACGCCATGGCCACGTTGCTACCGTCGATGATGATGTGTCGCAACTCCTGACGCCCCGGCTCGTTCGGCAGCTTCAGAGTGTACGGGGTCCTCAGCGACTGATTGAAGCGAGAAAGGCCCGTCACCGGGGGGGCAGGGGGGTCGTTGGCAGATGGGGTCCTGGTCTCGAACACGTGATACCCCGTGTGGCTGATCGTCTGATAGGCTGAGGAGGACGACGGGCGGGGAATGGGCTGAGCTGACTGAGGGGAAAGAAACAAACAAGACTTGTAATGTAACAGAAGGACAAGGGGGTAGGGCTGTCCCGAATACCATTTTTCGGGCTCCGGATATTCGGTAGTAATCAGCAGCGAATATTCGGGAAAAGAACGAAAAAACAAACAAAACGAATATCCGAATAACGAAATTGAAACCCGAATAGTACTCCAACGAACGAATATTCGGGTACAGCCCTACAAGGGGGTGATTTTAATATCATGTAAATAGGGAAAGAGCTATGATATGGTAAAGACAAAATACATTTACATATTGTTTAAACTTGTTTTGATTACTCATCAGTTTCATCCAGAGGTAACACTGGTTTCCTTAAAACACAACAGAAATGATTCACCAATAGGAATGGAAGCTAAAACTGACTAAATGTGAAGTAATTAGAGTACTTTGTCAAAATCCATGACTTTCCCAGGATAACCCAATTCAATTAACTTTAATAAAAAAAAACTGTTAAAAATGAATACAGTGAAACAGGAGCTTTTGAAACTTACAACCTTAACAATTCTCCAAAAGCAAAAAAACAAACCATACACTTGATCTCACAAAAAGTAAACTGCCCGACACTATAAGTCTACTAATTGGTTTAAAAGTCAATCCTGAAAAAAAGAAATTGTGCGCTGGAGGTCTCATGTTTTTACTTCACACTTTTTAATATTGGACCCCGATTGGCTTCGAAACAAGCTTTGATGTCACGAATACTTTTTTGGTTAAGGTCTGGTTGAGATAAATAAAAATAAAAACCTGAAACTTTCCCCCATTAGACGCTCTGCATATATCATTTGGCAAAGTGAGGGTGTAAAATCCAATAGAAGTAACAATATTAAAACCCATTGACAGTAAGGTAATACCTACACTGGGGGTGGAGGCTAGAGATGAGGTGGTGGCAGGGAGCCACTGAGGCGTGCTGCGCAGCGCCGTCACAGTCTCCACCTTCACCGCTCCTCCCAAAGTCTGTGTCCCCCCCCTCGACAGGTAGTCCCTCTGTGAGGCAGCCCCCCCTCCCCGCGCCAAGTAGTCTGGTCTGGATCCTGACTGGGTGTCCAGGTGAGGCACCGTCATCATCCGGGACGTCCTGCTCTCTGCCGTTTTGGTATTGGTGATGATGACGTCGTCGTCATCGTCGATGGTGATGACGTCGTAGTTTCTCGCTCCTCCCTGAGCACTAGAGCTCCTCTTGATAGTGATGGCCTAAAAGGAACATTTTTATTTTTGAATGGGAGAAAAATAGCATGCATTGGCAACATTTAAAAATCACTCGTAAAGCAAGTTTTGGAACAAATTGGTCGGTATTTTTCCTTATGATCATCGCAACATTAAATATATCCATGTGGAGTGGGTTAGGGTTAGTGCACCCTAACGGCAGTGAGGAGTATTTTTGTAGGCTTAATCAGAAGTTGGCCTCTCCCTCGACTACTTGCATGCTTTGTTCAGAAGGATCTCCATATATTGACAACACATTAATAACAGTTTAAGCGTAAATGCAATCCCCAGAAGTAAAAAAAAAACTCTATAAACTAATCTTACAAATGTGCATGTTAAAGATGCAGTCCTCAGAATGTGGCTTTAAAATGCATTTAGATGTGTCATGCGAGTTAATGTAAGCCTCCACATCCTTTGTTGCAGACTGAAAACCAACCTGTTTCCATTATAATCAAAAACAAACAAAGGAAGATGCTCACTCTCAATGTTCATGGAAGTTAGAAAGGTTTACTCAAACCGATGCAATAGAACTTACATTTGTTTGGCTTACTGAAACCTACGTACTTAAAGGAGTCTGGCTTTCTGGAGTTTATCTTCATGGTCTAATGCACGTATTGCTTTGGATAGAATTGTTAGCTAAACATAATGTAAAAAATATGAGCGATGAAAATGTGATGTAGGGTGATAGATGAAAGGTGCATTTCTTGGTGAGATGAAGGGAATACTTGGTTATGTATTCCATGTTGTATTAGGTGAAATGTAGCATGCACCAAAGCCACTGTAATGCTCTGTGATTTCAAGCTAGAAACATTGAAAAAAAAGGCGATTTGGGCTGTCATCTCACTGTCTAAGGGGTTACAAAGTCAAAAAGAAAAGAAAAGTGAAACTATTTTTAAGGTTGAAGGGCTGTCACCTGCTGAGTGCTGGTCTCGCTGCCGCTGCACTGCCTCCGGTGCCCCAGCCCGTTGCTGCTGCCTCTGTGCTGCTTGGGCCTGATGTTCTCCTTCGACCTGCCGGGGTCCACCAGTGCTCGGCTCAGCTCCCGGTCCTTCTCTCTGAACCAAGAGGCCACAGAGGACGATGACGATGAGGAGGAGGGGATGTCAGGAGAGCGCACAGAGTTCAATCGTCTTTCTTTTTCCCCTCCTCTTGACCCCTCTTCACAACGTTTGGTTTCCTCCACGATTTTCTCCAGAACGAGGAAGGTGTCTTCTGTTTGACCCGTCTCCTTGACGACACGCTCCACTACTTCCTGCTGGTATCCCATGGTTCTGAAGGAAAATTTGTTTTAACATGCTTTCATTCGGCAGTAACAGAGGTTATTGCAGAATTAGAAGGGCTCACATTTAATTCCAAGCTGGGATAAAACTATTCCCACATGCCCCTTTTTGCATTTGCCAGGAGGTTATTTTTCAGTCAGATCAAGTTTTATTTATATAGCACATTTATAAACGATTTTTGGTCGGGCCAAAGTGCTGTACATATAATAAAAATACCCTACAGTAAAGACACTTTACAGCAAATACAACAGCACAGTTTGTTCAGAATATCAGTATGAGAAAAACGACACCCGGCTTAGACCCTCACATCGTACAAGGAAAAACTTCCGGAGAAAAACCCTCATTTCAAAGGGAAAAATGGGAGAAACCTCAGGGAGAGCAACAGAGGAGGGATCCCTCTCCCAGGACGGACAGAAGTGCAATAGATGACGTGTGTAAATCGAAGAGATAATACATTTTACAGCGTAGGTAGACCGAATGTTTGGAAATGCATGTGTCCGTCAGCAGTACGATGGGAAATCTAAAGGTGTTTCTTTTTATGAAACTTGTGGAAGGGTGTAGCAAGGCCCAAGAAATAAATCATTGTGAAGGAAACACTGTTACCGGAGTAAATGCACACATTGTTTTTTACGTTTGTAACTTCGCAAGATAGGGCATTTATGCTGTATTCATGTTGTGTTGAAATACTCTTGTTTTTCTTAAAGATAGTTTTTTGGACCAGTTTTAGCCTCTATAATAGAGAGGGGAGATGGAAGGGATGACATGCATACAGGGTCCGTTGGCCATTTTAGTTCCTGCGTCCGCAACAGCAGGGACTAAGCTAACGCCAGGTAAACAGTGAGCGATGTGCCAACCGAATAATAAAAAAAAAAAAGTGTTCCCAACTGTGAAAATTCACAGGTAAAACAAATAAAACACATCTTTGCTCACAGCAAACCGAAGTTGGAAGAACGACTTGCCAACTCGTGAAATGGAGCTTTCCAAGCAGTTCTTAAATGCAGCATTGGCCTTGGTGGAGGCCTTCACGGTCCAATTACTTTTCAGTTGGTGGCTTTTATTGTTCTACCCGTCAATGTGAAGAAATACCTTCCTAAGTCAGTTCCACAGTTCTTATTTTATGCAGAACTGTTCCATAGATTTTTTTCCAACCAATTCTAAAATGAGCAGTTAGTCAATGAGAAATTGTATTTCAAAGTTAGTCTTGGTAGTACAGAATTCACACAGCAAGGATACACAAAGAAAAGTACAGAGTCAGCAACAGAGGAAGAGGCGCGCTAGATTGAAAGCAACACATTCTGATGAAGCCTCAAATTAGCTTCAGGTGAAGATTGCAGTCAAAAGATTGGGTATTTGAGCCTTATCTGTTTCATGGAAATCAAACGAGGTAGGTATTGCTTCGCAGTCTTTCTACATATATTTGAGACTATAATAAGGATTGTTTTTATACTGACTATCGTAAACACCTTCTGCAACGCACAAGAAAGAACTAAAGCCTTTAGCCCGATACAAAAAAAGTAATCAATCAAAATGTATATAGGAACTCATGTTCTACTCGACCACAACTACTTATTCAGTTAACAAGTCATTTCTGTCAGGTAATAATAATAATTCATTAAGATTCCAAGTACGTTGACCTTTACCTGAAGAAGTTGACCAGGCAGCGGAGGTTGGTTTCCGGGCTCACTGCCTCCCCTTCGTCTGAGATTCCTTCACTGGAGTCCAACATGCTCACACCCACTACAGTGTTTGCTTTCCCTGCAGAGGAGGAGGTGGAGGAAGAGGAGTGGCATGATGAAGCAGAGGGGGTTTTGGACCTACAGCTGCTGCTGCTGCTGCTGCTGCTGCTGCCCCCCCGGCCTTCTCTGTCCCTCTGTCTCTCCCTCTCTCTTGCTCTCTCCGGCGACTCCTCCCTCCGCTCCAGAGAGTATTGTCTCTTTGTGTCCCGATTCTCGCTCTCCGACGAGCGCCGCTTGTGTGAGGACCGGTTCCCGTTGAGCAGGACGGCCTCGGGACCCGCACCTCCTCCGGCCGCTGCTGCTGCTGCTGCTTTACCTCCAAACGCTGCTGCGGACCCTTTCTCCTCGAAGCTGGTGCCCAGGATGCGGTTGGAGAGTTCCGTCACGGGGGTGCTGCTCTGCGAGCGGTCCTGCTCCGTCTCCACCATGCTGGGGTGAAGCGTCTGGTTGAGCTGAGCCTGGGAGAGGAAACGCAAAATCTTAGTTAAGAAAAGTACAGTTATAGTTCCCCTCCAACACTCGCCACAGTCATAATTCATATCCTATTTCCCTGTGGGTTCCACATGGTTCCGCCTACCGAATAAAGAGCTTGTGTTGTACATCTTCTCTTTCACTTATTGACAGAATTATCTGACTAATGTTCTTTACTTCACTGCCGTTGAATAAGATATGCAGACATAGAATATCTGCTAAATGCATAAGAGTAAAACAAAGAAGCTTGTCAAACGTTGTACAATCTACAATGGGGGGGGGGTTAGAATTATTTAAAATGTAAGTTAGTTTCGTGTAATCTATTGTCAAACTACATCATGAGATACATTTCTCCTGACTTGTACAAGTTGATTGACCCCGAGATAGAACAATATTATATTATCTGTCAAACACACATCTCAAGCTTTGACTTGAGCATGAAGACTTTGACAATATCATCATCTGTGTTATTATAGACTCCATAAAGTAAGTGGCTTTAAATAATTGCTCTTATACGTCTTATTTATTTTTGCCAATTTTAAAATCTTACTCTTAAGGGACAATTTCCTGCTTTGTGATCAGATTCTCAGCAGGTAAACGGCGGGGAAAAACACATTTAGAGACGCATACTTTCACATCTATGTGTGAATTAAGAGTTTATTTCTAAAAACTAGAGTTTGTTGTTGGAACAGTGGAAAGGCTAACCTAAAAATGGTGAGTTCATTTTTGTTTCGGTCGAGTTTGAATGAAGTGGGTTTTACAGTTTGCTGTTTGTAATAAATCATTCAAATAGAAATGTATATACTAACCAGGGCAGATGTGTTTGTGGAGGTGGGGCTGTGAGCCAGTCCCAGGAGCTCTTCCTTCAGGGCACTGGGCAGCAGAAGAAGCTCCATAGTGTACTTGTCATCTCTTTCCTCGACGAAGGACTTGAACGCTCGTTTCACTGCCGGCTCTCTGTCACTCGGTAGACTTCGCTTTTCCTGGAAAACACCACAGACACGCAGATTTTTTAAAAGAGACTGTAAAATTACTAGAGTTACGGACTAGAGTTCTAGACTTGCATTGTAGCATTGTGTATGGTACAATGCCCTCACCTGGAATAGTGCTACAAACTGCTGAACCCGGCTCTGTGCCATGACTACGGGTTCCGCCCGGCCCAACAGACGCAGGCGGCCCGGCTCGGGCACCACCACTTCAGCACTGGTGTCCCGGATGAGCCTGTCGAGGAAGAGGCCCCGGGCCCCGGCAAAAATACAGTGCATGTCCACCGGGTACCGCTCTTCTTTTTGTAGTTCTGGGTCACAGAGTCCTCGAACATATTCCTGCCAAAACAAGTAGGAAAAACCCATTGATAAGATTGTATTATTTTTATTATGACCGTACACCTTTTTCTTTTGGAGAAAAAAATTCCAATTTGCTTTTTTAAAAGGATTTGGTAGAAACTACTGTACAAGGTAAACTGGGATCTCAAGAGTCATAAAATGCATAAATCTTTAGTGACAACTGCTTCTAAATATCTAGGATTTCTGCAAAAGTCCAAATAAAGCACAGAAAAATTAAATATAAAAATAATCTTTACTGAGCTAGAGTCAAAATGTCCTTCTTCGTTCATGAGTCTACACCGGTGCGTCACTGTAGAGAAGCAGCGCTGACACGTGCTGAAACTAAACACTTGTCGGTGATTCAGGGAATCTCCTGGCTCTGAGAAAGGTCCGGATGAATCAGCTGCAGGTGGGCGCGGTAGCTTCCTTACGGATACTGTGTCAGAGTTCTTAAGCGTTAAGTGTAAAAGCTGATACTGAGAATATAAAATGACTCAACAATGACACAGCGGGGCAGAAAGAGAACCAGTGTACACATATTTGGATGAGGCTTCCAGCATCAAACAATAGATAAGATGGGACTTCCAGTAGGTATGGCGCTTTGCCAAATGAGCCGAGATATTGTAGCTGCTGGCACTTAAACTTGAAATACAATTACAAATAAAAACATGGTATCAAGTTTACATTATTAGAAGGAAACTCTGCTTGTGTTGGATTTTTGCACTGGAGCTTGGTCCCCATGCAGAGGACCGGGTTAGAATCCGGCTTGGGACCATTTTCACCATTTATTACGATTTATATTAAAAGGAGTGGCTGCGCTTTAGCTTTGGTTTGATGGTTTTAAGCATAACCTAAGTAATTGTACAGAACACTCCCTCTGTGTAGTCAAAGCCTAATTACACTAAAAAGGAAACTATGACATTGTGTCAGCAATAAGTACAAACTATTTGACTGTAAGCTATGATTCAATTTATAAACTAAATACAGAAAGTTACAAATTGTTTGGCACCTTCTGGAAGTCAAGGAGACAGCAAGTCATTGCTAACTCTGTTACAATCTATTTAAAACTGCGGCAGATTACTGAAAGAAAAAATAATAAACGGTGCTATTTCCAATCACGTGCAGGATTTTTTTTGTGGTTAAAATTAGATGCAAACTGGTAAAACCACATTGCAAGAAAGCTTATTATGGGAACAATGGCAGTGATTTCCCAACTAGAGGAGCACCAACATACCTTGGTATTCTTAGGCAGGAAGCCATTTATGACTCGGGTGTCATTCTTACAATAAATTGACTATTTCCAAATCACATTTTCAGTTGAATGGCAGAGCTTGGAACAGCTGGGTACAGTGGGGAGCAACTTATGCACTAAAATAATATTCACGACACAAGATGAAGTACTGTAGGGCTGCTCGATTAAGGCAAAAATCATAATCTCGATTATTTGGGTCAATAATTTATATCACGAAAAACCAATAAATAATTTTTTTTTTTTTTTTTTAAGAAATTCGTTTTATTTCGATTACGTTGTTTTCGTAATCGTTGCAAGCCAAAATCGTAATTGCGATTAAAATACGATTAATTGAGCAGCCCTAAAATGAAGTGGGACTGATGCTCTTAGCATAAATAAATGCTACCAATGATAACAGCTTTTTTTTGCATGTGTAAGTGTATAATATCTGAATGCAACTGAGACCAGGACACCTTTACAATTGATTATTGTTCACCACAATTTTAGATGTTTTAAATCCAATCCCTTTTAATTGTAATGGTTATCATGAAATAAACAAATGCAAATAAATAATTTTCATGAGGATTTGATTGTTTCTTTAGAAAAATCAAATTAAGTGTTTAATGCACCAATGAGAACATTATGGAATACATGACTACATCATAGATATTGCAATCCCAGGTTCATACTAAGGTGTCATCTGCAAACCACAGTAAATAGGCAACAGCTAAACTTCCCAGGAAATACCCAGGAGTGATATATACTCCAATGAGGTGTTGAAATATTGATTTAGAAATAATGATTGCCTAACTGACATTAGCTTAATAAACTGCCCTTGATATCTGCATCCTCAATCTAAGAGGAATTATACAATAATTGTGAAATAAATGTATTTTTGTAATATCTGTGAACATAGGCCTACTCCCAACAACATGGTGACATACATTTTCGAAAATGCTGAAATGTTATTCTGAAGGACAAAGACAAAACATATATTATTTGTTTCCCAGAGAGTGAACACAACTCTCAACTATTTGCATGTGTCACTGTCTAACTTTTGTCAGTTTATGGTTGCTTGACATTTACATTGTGGCAAACACTACGCAGTAAATACCAATAAACATATTTTGGAAACTGAACTGGTATATGTGACCTTGTTCTTGACATCAGGGGGCTTATTTCGCAAGGCGACAACACAATGACGAAATCAAATGTCATGATATTCTTGACTGGACACCACAATATCAATAATGTGGTAACTCTGTAACATAATGGTAAATATGACTACCTACGAGTACCTTTCATAGAATATGTATCTACATTTAGGAGTGGGTGAGATTATGTTAGTGAGGAAGTGGTTGCTAAGGAGGAAGAAACTTATATTTGATATTTCTTAGTGGCAACAACTTATACAAAAAGTTAACTTTTAGCAGCAGGCTTCATGGAAACCAAACAAAACAGAAGCATATTCAGGCCACATCTAATGTTAATATGACATCCATTCCCAGTTATGACTTTATACAAGTACCATTTGCTAGTGTGTGACGAACAGCAGAGACAGGTGCCAATCCCCAAACACCGAGAGAGACACCTGCGCAGCAGCGACAACCGAGCCTGGTTGATATTCGGTATTTTCTTTGATAAACACAACTCGTTTCCACATTGGTCTCTTAACTTATCGATACAAAAAGGAAGCGAAACAGTCTAACAGGACCTCACCTTTGCCTTCGACACGTCGTCTGTGTTTCCTATGAGCTGCAGCCATATCTGCCGTGATGTTTTGCTACCGAGCGGCAGTCCCATGTGGTCCAAAAGACCGATAATGGTGAACGTTACTTTAAAAACCTGCTCCACTCGAGGCTTGGCAGCTTTCAGCTCATTTTCTTTCTCCTCCAGCACCGTAAACTCGTCCACGGTGGGGGTATCGAGCTGCTGCCTCGCGGCGGCCGCAGGGAGCCTGCTGCTCGGCTGCTCCTGGCACGTTAGCTCGGTGACTCGCCTCATCCCGAGGAGGGGCCGCGTTGTTGACATTCCGAATCTCAGTCTGCCCGTCGCTCCCGAGAACGACGTCTTAATATACAAACCTCTCGGTGGTGTAAGGAGCCGTTGGCATTTTCATGGTCTCTTTTGGTGTTTACTCCAGAGCAACAAGCCGACGTTAACAGTGTCTAACGACATGAACACAGAGGTAGAGCTAGCTTGATAACTCGGAAGCCCCGATTGACGTATCCGGAAAGTCCCAGTGACTGCGTCATCAAAACACGACAGTTAAGCGGCCGAGATGTTTATCTGCAGTGGTTAATGAACAAGTACTCGGATATTTAACTTAAGTCACTAACCGTAGCAATACCACAGCGAAGAAAGACTCAAGTGCTACTGTTACGTGCCGTAGTGTGTGTGTGTGTGTGTGTGTGTGTGTGTCTTTCTCTCTCTCCCTCTGATTCCCCAGGTGCAGCCTGATTGTCCCCAGGTGCAGCCTCTCCCCAGGTGCTCCTAATTCCCAATCAGGGCCTCCATAGAGGACCGGAGGAAGGCTGCAGTGATCCCCCATTTTTCCTTCTCTGGCTGCATGCGTACAACCTGTGTTCTGTAGATCAATAAAGAGATGTGCTCCTGGATATGGGACACTAGTTTAAATGTGCAAGTTAGCTGGTGAGCAGCCCGTGTTCTTTTCTTGACTATGCCTGTTCGTGACTCCAGAGAACGGTTTCCTCTCTTTTTTTCTCGTGCCTGGTCAACGTTGTGTTTTGTTACTTCCCTTGGTACCCCTAGATTTGGAGGGAACTTAACAGCTACAAACATCATGCTATTTAAAATGCTACCTGAGTAAGAGTACAAAATGGCATCTGCAGATATACCAAAAGTAGCAGGAGGCCTACTAATTTCGCTCAATAGCCCATTTCAGAATAATGTAGGTAGGCTATATTAGATTATTGTGACATATTGCAGGATAGCTTGTGAATACCCTTCTGATATTTCATAGTTTAATTGTTGAATTTATTTTTGTATTATTAATCTGAATCTGGAAATTAATAGTAACTAAAGTTATCAAAATAATGTAGTAGTGTAAAGTGTTTAACATTTGTCTCTAAATTGTAGTATAGTGAAAGTAGGCATATATAGCAAGCTCTACTAAATGTACTTTACTGAATGTACTTTCCACTGTTGCATCCTAATGTGTTGTGAAAACAAATGCACAGTGACCTACATTTATATGACATCAACAACATAGATAAAGATCTTGAAAAATGAGAGTAGTAGTATGATACCAGCATCTGTGTTGACACAGTGTCCTTGTTTAAAATAACAATAAAGCTGCTTAGTTAGATAAGATCAGTGCACATACAGTAGCGTGGGAAACTATCACAGGAATACAAATGATGTAACAGAACAGGATTTGTTTTAATTATAACTTGAAAGTTTGCATCAGTAAAATATCTGCTAAAGTAGGTCATTCAATTTCTGTGTCATTTCTTGTAGAGTGACTCTGTCCAAATGTAATTTGATATGCTGTTATATTTTAAGTTATAAAACAGATAGACATTCTAATTAAATTGTGTTTAACCAATTTATGTATCTTTACTACACATTGGTTGACTACTTTTGATCTTAAAATGACATGAAAGCAAGGCAGGCTTTCATTGTGCGGAGAGCAATAACTATGTAAGCTTAATTGGTGCCTCACAAGATGTTTGCCTAATAAGGATATTGAAAATAGCTATTTACCCAATGTGTCAATCATTCTGAAGAAAGGGCTATGTTTGGTACATGGGTTTGCTGTTTGTCAATTACTTCAATTACAGTATTTCACGACAAAAGTGACCATTTCCTACAGATAAAAGGAGAGGTTCTATTTCGTATATGGCTTCGCCCTCTAAGGCTATCGCTATTGGGTAATCCCCCTGCGCACCCGCGCAGCACTGAAACACTTGTAGTCCACGCCCGCCCGAAAGGTGGGCCCCACCCTCGGGCTCCCTTCCGGTATAAATAGGAAGGAGGCCCGACAATCTGCTCCCTCTTTTTCTTCAGCACCCCGTTACTGAAGCACAAGAGACACTTTCATTAACAGAGCAATCATGAGCAGCAATTGTGTGAGAGGTTGTCCCTCATGTGGCTCTGGATACATTATGGGTTACGACCAGCACACGATGTGCGAATCCTGCCTGGGGCCAGAGCACGCATACGCGTCTCTCAGCCAGCAGGTCGCATGCACACACTGTGCCCGTCTCCCCTCGGACGACGATTGGCCCGTCCAGGCTTTCGAGCCCGTGGACGGCGGCCTCATGTCCCTGGAGCCGAGTGCCGGGCAGGTGTCGGACGACTCCTACCCCGCCTCCCTCCACGGTTCACCGTACGGTTCTCCCCTCCCTCCTCTCCCCCGGACGGGGGAGACAGAGTCGGAGCAGGGTGCCGTCTTGGCGGACGAGCACGCGGTCCCCTTCTCCGTCACCACGGCGCTGCCGGTGATAGGTGGCATCCTGGGAGAACTACCGGAGATCATATGCAAGGCGGCCGCCTGCAGAGGTCTCCCCGTTCCCCCAGCTCAGGAGAGGTGTGCTCCGGACGATATGGCCGGAGTTTTTTCGCGGGTGCAGACGGTCAGGAGTGACCCGGTCTGGCCACGCTTCCCCGCCATCAGGAGCTACCAGGAGGGGGCGGCGGCGAACCCGAGGACCCTGAAGGCTCCAGTGGCCACATTTGTTCCCCTCACCAAGGTGGAGGGGTTCACAGAAGCTGATTTCCCAGCCACCCCTTCTTTGGAGCCGAGCCTGACGGCGTTTTTTGGGGTGAGACAGGCCAACGTGATCGCCGGACGGCGCCCTACGTTGGCCTCCCCCAGGGACCAGTATGTCGCCCACCAGGCCGACCGGGTGCACCAGTGTGCCTTGCAGGCGGCGGCGGCAAACAACATTGCGCTGCTCTCAAACTCGGTGGTGACGCTGGTGGAGCGGTCCACCACCTTGGCCGCTGATGAAGTGGAGGAGATCGGCAAGGCGGCCAGCACGACGCTCACACTGTGCGCGTCCGTCGCTGTCTCCCAGGCGAGGATCGCCGCGTGGGTGACGCAGATTCAGCGCCACCTCTGGCTGCAGCAGGCGTCACTTACGGAGACTGCCAGGAAGGTGCTTCTGGACGCTCCAATCAGCCCGGACGGGCTGTTCGGACCCCAGTTCCACGCCATGGTGGAGTCCATGAAGTCGGCTGCAGAACAGGCGGACGACATCCGCCAGCACGTCAGCTGGCTCAAGCCTGCTGGGCGGCCACAGCGGCATCAACGGCCGCAGCAGCCGCAGCAGCCGCAGCGTCCGCAGCGTCCGACCCGGCCACAGCGGCAGGCGGAGAGACGCCCACAGCCGCGGCATCAGGGTCCTTCAGCGGCTGCAGGGGCTCCGTCCCACGTCTCCGCTCCCCCGCCACCCCAGAGACAAAGGGGTCTTCCAGCGGTGGGTCAACGGGGAGTGAGGCACTCCCGCTCTTGGTCTGCTCCACCAGAGCCTCCGAGGAAGCAGAGACGTTTTTGACGTGTTGGGGTTGTGTGGAAAATAAAAGGAGAGTTCATTTTCCAACTTTTTGTCTGAGTCATCAGTATCAAGTGTTTTCTCACCCCCCACTCTGTGTAAGAGCCTGCAGTTTTTAATCTATCGGTTAATAAACTGCAGAGTTCGCTAATTAAGCCAGCTGCCACCAATCTGTTGATTAGTAGACAGCAGGGCTCGCTGCAGAAGCCTGCTGGTTTTAACCTATCGGTTAATGAACCGCAGAGCTCGCGGCATTCCTCTGTCCGAGATACGTCTCCTCCACACATAATAAGCCCATGAGCGCAGTTATGACGCCTCATGTGGACGTCACGGCACACACCTCCACTCATCCCCTGAGCGTGTACACGCCTCATGATGAGAGCCGGAGTGAAACGCAGCGTGTGGAGGCTCCCTCACAGCCCTTTTGCTCCAGGCCCACCTTGGGTTGCCTCACGGGCTGCGGCGGCGAGGGCTCTGACGTGGCTCGTCGCCATGACGACCACAACACATCTCGAGCATGTGCGCCCGCTCTCAGAGTGTTTCTCAGAGTGGTAGCGCGTGTGTCTGATGGACAGATGGATGAGCAGGCTGATCAGCAGAGGGTCTGTCAAAGCCTGGGTTTCATAATGAATTTGGAGAAGAGCTGCCCTCTCCCCTCTCAGACATTCATTTATCTGGGAGTAGAATTAAACTCAGCCAGCAGAGCGCGGCTCTTGCGGCAGCGAGTGGAGGAACTGCAGCGAGATCTCCTCCGGCGTGTCTAAACCCGCACAGCCCTCTCCGTGACGCAGCTGCTCGGCATTGGCGTCAGCTGGTCACGCGGTGATCCCCATGGGTCTCCCCCACAGGAGGAGACTCCAGAGGTGGGTCATTCGCTGCAGAAGCCTGCTGTTTTAACCTATTGGTTCATAAACTGCATAGCTCGCGGCATTCCTCTGTCCCAGATATGCCTCCTACAGAGCACGGTCATGACGACCATTACAGCATATCACAGAGAAGCCTCTCCAACGGGGGAGTGAGACCCATCCTTGATCTGTCAGTATTCCCATGCTGACGATCAAACAGGTGCTGGAATGTGTTCACCAGGACGACTGGTTCACTTCCACCTGAAGGAGGATGCATACTTCCATACCCATCATCCCGAAACACAGGATATCTTGCGTTTCTCTTTTCAGGGAATATCAGACCAGACAATCGTCTGCTGTTTGGATGTTCCCTGGCTCCTCGCATTTTGTGTAGAGAAGGCTGGAGCCACTACACAGAGGAGGGATGAGAATGAGGTTTTTCTCTGGACGACCAGTTATTTGCTGGTTCGCTCCAGCATGAGGAAGTCGCTTTACAGACGTTACATCTCGTATCGCATCTGTCAAAGCCTGGGTTTCATAATGAATTTGGAGAAGAGCTGCCCTCTCCCCTCTCAGACATTCATTTATCTGGGAGTGGAATTAAACTCAGCCAGCAGAGCGCGGGTCTCGCTGCAGCGAGTGGAGGAACTGACAGCTCCCTATCCAG